TTAGACCGAATTTGGTTGAATGTAGAGAATTTCGTTCGTGCGCTGGTGGTCATATTGAAAATGGCAAAAAACACGGATTAGCTCTGCACAACGTAAGCAAACTGGTCAATCGGATTGACCAATACCTACGTTTCGGTTGTGTCTCGCGGACCTTCTTCAAAGTCGAGAGGGAATTGGCTGCGGAAGACCTTTTTTACTCGTTCACCTAAGTTCTTTTGCTCAGAACCAGAAGGCCGAATGAGAAAGACTTAGTTACAAAGTTGCTGAGAAACTGTGGTTGCCGGAGTAGGCAGAGAAAAACTGGAAGTGAAAGTAAATGGAAGCTTCTGGCTGTTTTGCGCCATTCAGTCTTTGAGGATCGACGAGGAAGATTTGACTTAATTTGGCACTGCCTCAGGCCCAGTAGCACAAATTTCCTTGTTGAACCTTACATTTTCGGCGAAAGATGAAAGTTCATGTCAGCCTTCATCGGTCAGCCTGTCATGACAGATGTCACAACATAATCCGGTAATTCATTATGCTCATGATTCGGTCAGGCGATGGAGGATGGAGCGATATGATCGCCTGTTCCGATATTGATTTTCAAGATCGGCATAATCCTCAAACCAAATATGCGGAGACGTTTTCAGGCTTTTAGTCAAGAACGATTTCAACAGGTCGGTCGAATTAACGGAAGGACGTGCGACTTTTGACTTTGTTTGTGCGAGGTGTCGGTTGGCAAAACGTGCAGCCAAAATACAGCGCTTCTGTTGGTGAGTGACAGCAACAGGTGACTGCTTAGGTGACCTCGATCGTCGTCATCCGCCCCTCCTCCATAGCACTCGTTCGCCTCCTGTTCTTCCTCCTTCACTCCATGAACCTCCCGTCTGTCATGCGCCTGAGCTTCGCCGCCGCAATCTGCGTGCTGCTGTTTCCTTTGGCGTCCGCCAACAGCAAAGCGAAGAACCAACCACGCGGGAAAGGAAAAAACCTCCTTCCGTTCGCCAGCGTAGCCGAGCACTCGCTTCTAGAAGACTTCGAGACCGAGAAAGAGGTACGCATCGCTTGACGATGAACATTCGCATTTTTTCCTTCGCATCGTTAGTAGAGAAGTGCTCACATCAAGTGTAGGATTTTGCAACACCCAATAGTTTTTATGTGTGCAAACATTAGATGTAATGATCCTCAATGAGTAAGGTGAGCTAGACACATAACCTGTATACATACAAGCATTAAATCTGCATTCAGATCTGTTCATTTAAGTGTTGGCTTAAAAAAATAATGTCAGGAAGCTCAAAGTGGAATTGAAATAGAAAGAGAATTTAAAAATGTGACAGGAGGCGAAAGGAAAGGAAAGTATATATTATATATATTTATGCATGTAAACTACTATATATACATGTATGCAGATCACGCAAGGGTTTAAATGTCGTGATAGACATAATGATATTATCTCAAAG